TCAATATAGCAGATGTGCCCACTACCACACATTTGGACTGATTTGTGACCACTGTTTGGGAGGGATGGTTATATTGTGTATCTGGAATGAATTTTAGGTCTCTGTGTCCATCCCATGGGGAATGGGAGCAGTAACAAAGGTGTTGCGTTTATATTTTTGTTGAGTGTATATTAGCACCTGTGGAATTGATAGGTTCCACATCTGGAAAGGCATCATCAATTGCAAAATGTATATAAAGGCAGTGTTGGGGAGTAACGGAATACATGTACTGGCGTTACTTAATTAAAATACAAAATATGAGTAACTGTATTCCGTTACAGTTACCGTTTAAAAAGGTGATATTCAGAATACAGTTACTTTGTTGAAATAAATGGATTACACGGCAGTATTTTCCTGTTTCATATGTTCGCCTATGCTCTAACGCCGGTGGAAACCCAAACAAAACAGGCATTAAGAGGCTCTAATACCTGTGTCTCAATCTCGCGGCCCATGTTACCTCTGCTTGCGGCCCGCATAATGACGTGAAGAAATAGTTTTTCTAATTATTGTTCAAAAAATGATTTAATATGAAGTCAATAGGCAGTGTTACAGGCATATCTCTAAAGAATGTAGCCTCATGGGCAGTGTAGCCCAGTTGTAAGTAAGCTATTAAGACTTGACTGTACACTGTGTTTGTGTTTTCCTCCAAAACAATAAGCAGCCTTTCAACGCCTCTCTCTGTCTCTCACTAGCAAAGTTGACTCAGACAACAAAATAAAGCTAGTTTTCGGCTACGAACCCGACGTATTAGCCAGAGGTCCCTGTTTTATATACACACAAAATAGTTTTCTATACACGATCGCTGCAAAAGTGCAGCCTTACCTAATGTCCACCCTACTGTTACTCATTTATATTAAGGTGTAAACCTCTAGTTGGTAGTGGTATGGCGAATAACCTTCAGTAAAAGTAATAAATCACACAGCAATAGTACATTCATGTAGTTGTAAAAAGCATGATAATATATTAAGTAATCCAAAGTATTCAGAATACGTTACTCTCATTGAGTAACATAACGGAATACGTTACAAAATACATTTTGGGGCATGTAATCTGTAATCTGTAGTGGAATACATTTTAAAAGTTGCATTTTTAAGTCCAGCAACTTCTTCCATCAGTTCCCAGATCTGTCCCAACATTTGAGATGTGTTCTGACATCAAATTTAAAATTAGCTAATATTTTTCTTAATATGGTGCATTTTCTCAGTTATAACATTTAATGTTTGCAATTTCTGTTTTGAATAAATAGGTTTTCTATATGTGAATAAAAATGGGTTCATTAATTTTGAAAATCCTTGCATTCTGATTTATTTACATTTTCCAGCATCCCAACTTTTTTGGAATTAGGGTTTTTTAAGGCATATCAGATTAATCAAAAAACAGTATATCTTTACAGTCATGATTCAGAGTCTTGATGTCTGACTGTGATGCATTCTAACCGTAACCTTGGACCTCAGTGATTGGCTGGTATAGTGTTGAATATTACGAGGTTAAGTCCTGCAAGTTGTATTAGGTGTGCCTTTCTTCCAGGACATTCCCATCTTTACTGTCACAAGTTAGGTTTGTTTCAGGAATCCTCCACCTCAGTCATCTGGCTGTAAGACTTTGCTATTGTTATTGCCCCACAGCCAACAAGCTGGTTAAGAAAACTAATTGTTCCCTCAGTAAGGGCATCTTTGGGTGGTTATTTGGATTTTTTGGCTAGGTTTTATTAAGTGTATCCTGCCAACGGTTACATTTTTTTCTGTCAGGGTTTTGTGAGTTGAATAAACTAAAACCACTGTGGTTTATAACCTGATCATATCAAAGAATTACCTGCATACTGCACTAAGAAGCAGGGTTAGTGGCTATTACACACTGAAGTGCTGCTTCCGCTCCTGATTGACCCTGTTTGTCCATTAGCCTGTGGTTAATAGCCAGAAGACGGGCTCACCTGGGCACCTAGGGCTAAGCAGAAGTGAGAAGTGAAATGAGGCTCCTAGTTTATGTATTTATTACTTCTAGACTGGACTACTGCTATTCTTTCTTATCGGGATGATCTAAAAGCTTTAAAATTTATATTGTCTTCTCTTTATTTGCTTCCTGGTAAATTTAGACTCAAATTTTAAATCCTTCTTGTCACATACAGGTCCCTGAGGTATAAGGGCCTGCTGACTGTGCTTCACATGAGGCTGAAAACTAAAGGAGACAGAGCTTTTGCAACAGTGACCCCCAGACTTTGGAACTTTCTCCTTCTGAGCTTGAGATCTGTGGATCTTGTGGTCTCTTTCATAAAAACACCCAAAAAGTCATCTTTTTTCACTTGCTTTTTGTTAACTTTTGTTTTTATCTTCTAGCATTTTAGTGTGAAACACTTAGAGATGCTTATCTTGAAATGTGCTATACAAATAAAACTTTACTTGCTCTCAACCATGTTATGTATTTACCATTAGTTACCACAGTGGTATAGCTAAGAGAGCCACTGTCGTGAAACAGAAAATGCAGATTTTAAGCTTGACGCAGCTCACTGAGATATGAATATCACGTTGTAGTACACATCTGTTTTTGTACTCAGCCATGTTATTGACTCAAGTGGTAAAACAAGTTTGTTTCCACTATTAGGGAGAACAGTTTTCTTACATATTTTGCAATGTACTGGGCTTTGTTGGTTATTGAACTACTTAATTCAGATTTCCTTGTATAGCACCAAATCATAACAACGGCCTTAAGAACATCACCTTCACTAAAGCTGTTTCTGTGTTGTGATGAGTTCTTAAACCTGACTGAAATTCTTCAAATAAGCCATTCCTCTACAGATCATCAGTTAACATTTTTACAACTACTCTTTCCAGATTTTTTTTAGATAAAAGGAAGGCTGGAGATTGGCCTATAATTAGCTAAGATAGCTGTGTCAAGTGAGTTTTTTAAGTAATGGTTTATTTACTGTTATCTTAAAGGCCTAGCTCCCTTTTATGTACATAATCATCATCGTAAGCAGACAGTGGCTCTAATTCTACATAAAAGTTGTCCCAACAAAATCCTGATATAACAAGGCCGACCCATTGACTTAGGGGCCAACTCAGACATGGGTGTTTGCTTACCTTCCTATTTGCATGTCTCCAGTTTTCTAGACTCCAGGACCAGAAATAAGGAGCGCCCTCACTTTGAAATATATCCTTTTACGCTCTTCATTCCCTTAGACAGTTATCTATTTTTATGATTTAAGAGACGGAAGAATCAGCAGTGTTGGTTTTATGTTTAGAGGTAAGTTCCCTTGTTTGATCATTTAGACTTTGCTGAAACGGTACACTCAGTACACTGTGCTCCCCACATTTGGGAAAAGGTAAGTCAGAAATATGAAATGTAGTCCAGTGCACTGTGCAATGCCTTAAAAGCTTGCAGGAGGCGTCATCTGGAATTATAGGCTGATTTAAACAGCAGGAATGTCTTAAAGACATAAAGACCTGGATGGC